TCACTAGCTTGTATTACAAAATTATTGGAGGTTTTTGAAAGTAAGAGTATCTGATGAATTTTTCATCTTTGACTACTGGGGAGTCAGAGCAAGACAACAGATCTCCAGGTAATCACCAGAAGGTTTTAATGAGGAAAGAAAAAGAAAAAAAAGGAACAGGAAAAAAAAGGAAAAAAAGCAATAAGAGCTTTTATTATTACTTTGATCATATAAGAAGTAGCAATGACATTTTGTGCTTGCAAACGCATTGTGAACGCCTCCCTTCTTCTCAACACTATGTATTACTGAATGAATCAGCTAATATATAGTCAATTTAAGGGACCTGAAAATGCAGTGACAGCCAAGAAGGATATTTTGCAGTTTGAAATGATCCCTATATAAATAGAACGGATCAGCATAACTTTGGGATAAAATTAGCCGACGGTCTGTGGTCTCTCTGGCATGTGCTTGTTTGCCTGCTGCTGCTCTCCCGAGCACTTGCAGGACGATTTCCAGGGGGACAGGACAATGGACGACACCACTGCCCCTGTCACGAAGTCTGGAGCTGCCAAGTTCGTTAAGAGAAACTTCCTAGAGGCGCTAAAGTCAAATGACTTCGGGAAATTGAAAGCTATTTTAATCAAAAGGCAAATAGATGTGGACACAGTTTTTGAAGTTGAAGATGAAAAGATGGTTTTGGCATCTTATAAACAAGGTAAAAAATATAGGTGTATTTGTAAAATTGATAGAAAATGGGTTTTTAAATAAATACAAAGCTATAGTTTTCTACTCTAAGCCAATAGCCCTTATTGAATAACTATTTAAAATATATTTTAAATTTTATCTCGTCATTCCTTGTAAACTACAATGCTTATGGACAGATAAATATGCTAATCCTGATGACATATATCTTATCTATAAAAGTATATAGCATATATATAAGCACATATATTGCATATATTTTGTTTCATTTTCTGCCCTAGAATTTCATGTGTGCCTAGAATTTGAAATCCTGAACAATTATACTTAGAAATGCATTTTATGTTTCTAATTTCTCTTCTGGCTATAATGTAATGACACAGATTAACAAAATATTTTTAGATTACGGTTGAAACAGATTACTGAGACCCAGTCTAGACAATGTAACTGATAATAGCCACTTAAAGTTATATCATCTCTGTGTCTACAGGAGTGACACAGATTTTTTTCCTCTCCTCGAGGTTCATTAATGGCAGGAGCTGTGTCATGCACGCCTTCATGGGCTTCCTCGCTTTCCTGAGCTTTAGTTCAGCTGAAAAGCTAAACTCAGAAAAATCCAAAAGTGAACTTTCTTTTGTGTACTACAATACGAGATCAAGATTATAGACATGCTTAATGCAGAATATTTGCTTTTAAATAAAGCAAAGGAAAACAAAAAGTAGGACAGAAATTTTTATCAAGGAGTTTTCTGGAATCTGTGCTTCATACATTGGAAATAAACAGCATGCTGATTCTATCTTCTCGAGTGAACTATTTAATGAGGGAACTTGAGTAGTTAGGCCATCTGGCGAGCAGATTGCAAACAAACACCCTCCTTAATGGTACTTCGGTTTAAATAAATAGATGATAAGGCATCGCGCGCAGCATTTAGTGATAAGAGTGTATGCAGTTATCTTTCGTGTATACAGATGTTTTCTGTTCTTATATAAATCACTAGTGCCGTAAATTCCAAGACAGAATACAAACAATATACATTTCTGTGCTAATTCGGTAGCCTCTGTGTATCAGTTCTGCAAGAAGCACATAGAGTAGTTAAGGCCAATTTCTCTGCTTATGATTGGTACTTACAAGCTTCACAATAATTTGACATTTTCTTTTGATTGAAAGATAAAGGAGGTATCTATTTTCTTAAAAAATTGATTGGAGACTCTTTAAAAATGATGTATTTTAGGTATTTAAATAGTTTCTACATTACAAGTTCATTTAGTGAAATAATTTGTTTAGTGAATAACTGGTTAGTTAGCAAGTCCTGGATACTTAAGTATATTTTAAAGGTTTTTTGAAAAGTTATATTTATGTCTAATGTAAAATAACGAGGGGCTGAAGTGATGGGTAATTTATTTGACTGTGGGCCCTGAAGATCGACTGTTCTTATTTCCTGAGTAGCCAAGTCACCAGGATCATGTGAAAGTTTTTAGGTTAAAAGAAAGGAACTTAGAGGTGCATGTTCTTAGAAAGTAAGATTTCCCCCCGTGCTACTTACAATGGTGTCATGACTCCTGAATGAGAAGAAACTGTTTTAAATTCTTGTCAATGAAAGTTGATTCATGTGACCCTCCTGAAGCTAAATCTTCATTCATTCTAAGGTGTATTTTCAAAGTTTTAAGACTATGGACTGTGGCTTTCAATTAGGAGACAGCCAATTACAGAACCCGAGAAAGGAGAGAAACAGTTCCAGTGTTCTACTTGCTGAACGTGTGCCTGCACAGAGCTACTAGGATTTGGGACCATGTATTCAGGGCGCATGCAGGAAATCCTTGGTGCATGTGCGCATGTACGTGTGTGTGTGTGTGTGTGTGTGTGTGTGTGTGTGTAGAAACACAATCTATTTAGCTGGAGTCTACTGCTCTGTCTCATTAGTCCTAAATTCAGGTTAAAACTTCACCTTTCTTTGGTGTTACTTCAGTTCTTTTTCACAAACTTTCAGTCTAATTGTCAGTTCTTTTAATACCACATTTAGCAGTGGAAGTGGAAAACAGGATCCTGGTTGCTGGCTCAGCATTGTAGAGCCAAGTGGTTTTTATCGATTTCTTAACTCACAAAGGAGTGCTTTTGGAACAGTGTAGAACAGAAGGCCTACAACTGGTTTGTTAGTGGCTGAATTCTTTTTCAAATACTTTTAAAGAATAGGGCCTATTTCTGTGTGGCCTTGAAGGGTTCTGCGGCTGGATTAAAGCCTTTGACAATTTATTAACTAAAAGCAGAACTTTTGACCATTAAAGGCTGTTGAACTGAGATGCGCTACTCTTTGATTTTTTTTTTAAAGCATGTTTGAAGAGCTCTAGGCAGAAAAGTATACAAATAGTAAGCATGCAGCCTAATTAAGTTTTACAAAAATAAACCTAGGTAACCCGCAACCAGATTGGGAAACAGAATATTTTTGTTTACTTTTACAGGGTGAGAGTCCTCAGCTCTAGTTACTTTTGGCTCTGTAGGACAATATGTAAAACCTATAACAAGTAGACTACTTTAAATTTTCTTATGAATTAATATGACTCTATTCAACATTTGATTATCCTGAGAAAGACTAATAAGTCAATTTTTAATCATTTTTATTTTCTTTAAAAATATAGTATTTTTATAGGATTGCAAAACATGGTTAGACTGTCATTCTAAAGGCAATACATTCCAGCCAATATGAAAGTCATTGTCATTTGTGGAATGGTAACTCAGAACTGTTCTGGCTAAAAAACCAATTTAGTCTCTAAACATCATTTCCCCTCAAACCGTGGGGCCTGGGCAGCACCAGCACTTCACAGTCATAACTTAGTCAGATATACGTTGGGTAGCTTTTTCAAGATACTGTAAGCTTAGCAATATAATCTTCAGCTGGTTTCAGGGGCATCTACTTGTAGTCCTGGTACTCTGAGGGGACCCCACATTCATTCACAGCCTGGGCAGTTTGGAGACTGAGGAAGTCAATAAAAATAAAATTAAAAGTTCAAAATAAAAATTTTAAAAAGGGCCGGGGATGTAGCTCACCTAGCATGTGGGGGATCCTGGCTCCAAGGCTGGTACCAAAACAGATGAATAAATCAAAACCTAAAGCAAAAGATTTCAGGAAAATTATGTTTTAACAATTAATTAATTTTTTATTTTAAAAATCTCTGATTTATTTATTTGGTACAGGGTCTCCCTATGCAGCTGAGACTTGTAGTGATCCTCTTTTTCTCAGCCTCCCCAGGGCTGGGATTGCGGGTGTGCGTCACTATGCCCAATTTCAGTGGCCTGCATGGTGTGGCGTGGCATATGGTACTGGGGATTGAACCCTGGTCCTTGCGCCTGCCAGGCAGGTGCTTAGACCACTGGGACATCTCCTCAGCCTGTGTTTTATTAATTTAAACAGCAGTCTATTTTGTAAGACAAACGGTAATATGTTCTGGCTGGCACTTGAGGGGCCTCTGGGAATGCCAGGGATATGGACCTTAAAAACAAGAAAGCAAAATAGCATTTACTAAATGGTGGCCTTAAAAATGATGATATAACAAAACTAAACAAAAAAGGGGATACAAATGAAGGACCATACATACAAAATAGGATAGGTATACAGCTACTTTCTCTTAATTCAATGAGAAGAAAGATTTGCACTAATAGTGTTTGTACAGAATATCTTGTCTGCATCTTGTAGTATGAATAACCACCATGAAGAGAACAGTATGCAATGTATTAATTATTGAAACTGTCCTACTAATCGGTTTTGAAAGTGTCTCGTTGCTGTTTGTTTCTCAATAAAATTAATAAAAAAATAAATAAATGACATAAAGAAAACATGAATGCAGGAAATGTTCAACTGCTGGGTACAATCAGTAGTTGAATAGTTAAGGGATGTCATGACACGAAGTTTATTCCATGACTAGCGGACAGTCTCTAGAGTGCAAGCCAAATCAGAAGAACTCTCCTGGACCCACACAGGCGCTGCATGTTGGTCTGTGGTGTTCTGGAAACAGCAAGTGTCCTTAACAGTGTTCCCAAAGGTCTGTTCAACTACAGGTTTTGGCTGTCACTTAGACATATGTCTTTCGGCTCATTACTGATACAGGCAGCCTACCACACTGATCTTCTTGCTATGGAATTTTCTAGTCAGCAAGGTAATCAGAGTCCTTTTATTAATCAGTGTAATGCACTTTAAGTACCTCATTTATGGCCCACAGCCTCTGGTTCCATGGTTGGTAGTCATCTTTTTAATTAAAATAACCAATGAACGATTTCACTTGAAAACTCTCTGGCAGGTACTCTATCTACTTCACTGTGTAGCAACTGCTTTGCAAATATCACCAGAGTTCTTCTTTGTACTTTCCTGATCAATAAGCGCCTTATCACCCAATTTTTCTTGTTTCTAGAAACCTCTCCTGCTTCCTATTGCTCTGTCAGAGTTCTTCTCTTTTTTGGGATGCTCAAACTTTTAGCTTTTAAATGTTTTCATTTTCAGCTTGCTGCCTTCCTCCCTCCCAAGAGGAACTCAGAGAATTATCCTAAAAACATTAGCTGTTAAAAAATAGCCAAGAACTGCGCCTCCACTTATAATCCTCCAGGAGCGTGTCAGCAAGTGCGTACAGGCAGAGCAAATATCTGCTAATCCGGCCTCAACCGTGTCTGTAACCTTTGGCTGTAATCGCAGAAGCCTCTGCTGTGCAGGGCTCATGGCGTTCTGGTTGGTAACGTTTGCAGAGCTCTTGGCTTGGCTGAGGTTTTCCTGGAGTTGTGTACAGTCCCCCTGCCCCCAAATGCTGGATCAAAACCAATCCCTTCTGTCCAAAGATGGCCAAAACACGTGGCTCCTTCCCACATTTCCTGAGCTAGGGGCTTTCTGTCCAGTCACATGGGCATAGTTCTCTGGTTTCAGGTTTAAATTAAACATTCCCATGTACACACATCAGAGGACAATCTGCATATTTTTGCAAAGGTAAAACTTGGCAATTTCTTTGAGACCTTTTAGCTGTAAGCAGTGCTGGTTTG